GATGGTGGTTAGTGTGGTGGTCGTGGTGATGGTGGTTAGTGTGGTGGTCGTGGTAGTGGTTAGTGTGGTGGTGGTGGTGGTGGTTAGTGTGATGGCAGTGGTGGTGGTTATGCAGTGGTGGTGATTAGTGTGGTAGTGGTGGTAGTTAGTGTAGTGGTGGTGGTTAGTGTGGTGGTGGTGGTTAGTGTGGTGGCAGTGGTGGTTAGTGTGGTGGCAGTGGTGGTGGTTATGCAGTGGTGGTGATTAGTGTGGTAGTGGTGGTAGTTAGTGTAGTGGTGGTAGTGGTTATGCAGTGGTGGTGGTTAGTGTGGTAGTGGTGGTGGTTAGTGTGGTAGTGGTGGTGGTTAGTGTGGTGGTCATGGTGGTGGTTATGCAGTGGTGGTGGTTAGCGTGGTTGTGGTGGTTAGTGTGGTAGTGGTGGTGGTTGGTGTGGCTGAATCCAGTGCACTAAGCGGAGTGTGCCCTGGGCTTCCAGCCATGTGACGACATATGCACAAGTACGAGCAGGAGGAGGCACTGTAGCGCACGGTGGCTGCACCAAAGGGGAAGGAGAGGCTTTGCTTTTTTTCTCATTCCCAATTTTTAGTAATTTGGTTGTGTGTGTGTGTATGTGTGTGTGTGTGTTTTTTATTGGTTGCTGACAGACAGATGTGGCCAAGTTTCAAGTGCTTGGAGTGCCATGGCTTCACCATGCTCAGAGTTTGACCTTGGCAAGTAAGCACTAAAAACCTTACAGTGTGCTCACCTTGTAGTCCAACAAGTCTGCTTTTAGGAATTTAACCCAAGGGAGTATCTACAAAGATCTTCATTCAGCATTGATAGCAAGAGACAGCCTCACTTGTCCATAGTAGTGTGTTGGTCTCATAAACGACAGTGTGTCCATTCAGCTAAATGCTGTTTCACCTGGGAGAGGACGTGGTCTTTGGATATTTATGGCCTAAAAAGACATGTGCTTTCTACATAACAGGATGTTAGTAATATGTCGTAGGGTGCCCTGTTTCTAAGATCTGCATGCTTAGTTATGTTGTGTGTAAAAAGGGGACTCAGGAAGCATCAAGGTGTCCCTGGGGTGGGGTTCACCTTTAGTGGTAGGGTGATTTTTTGTTTCTTCAGCTTCAACTTAGTCCAAGTGGGATGAATTTTGCTTTCTTCCTTTAACTTAAATATAACTTTTCTGTAATTAAAATACATATAGTTTTATAAATTTTTAATCTTTATAAAAATTGGGTTTCAAAAAAGTGTCCTATAGGGAAGGCTGGTAATTTTTTATCCCTTTAGAGTGCTTGTAGAGTGTGTTTAGTATAAACTCTTGAGTTTGGAATGCTACATGAAGTGTCTTCCAGCCTTTACCCTTCCCTTCTCTTCCTGGCTGGTTCTGAAGGGCATGCTCACCTTGGCATTGTCTTATTGAAATGTCTTGTCCTCAGAGCCCCACTAACTTTACTGTAGTCTCAGAAGTCTGGTCCTCTAAGTATAGAGTCGTCATCAAAGATGTGAAGAATCCACTTCTTCCTTTTTTCCTGGCAAACTTCTCTGTGCCTAAAAATAGTTATAGCAGAGAGGGAAATCTGAGCCCACCTTGCTGGAATTTATCTTAGAGTTGTAAGGCCCTGTTTTTCCTTATTTTTGTAGGAAAGAACAGCAGTGTTTCAGGAATTCTCACATTCCAAAAGAGGCGTCCTTCTTTGCACGGTATGTATCATTCTGTACCCCTCACAAAAGTTGAAATAGTTCTGTAATGGCAGTTGTAATTTTTCATCTCTTGGCAGTTGTCCTGTGGTCAGCCTCACAGGGTGTGGGAGCTACGGGGCCCTCTCAGTGCAGCTGATCTCTTTGCACTTCTGACTTGTCACCTGACTGTGTTACAGATAGCCAGCCACCACCATGCAGAAGACTTGGCAATTTGCTCACTAATAGTGGCAGCTGTTGGTCTGAAAATGTGTGAATCCTGACAATTTCTATCCACCCAAAGTTGTAAATTACAGCTATCGGGAGTAATTAGAGCTGAGAAAGTCTTTTTGGACAAAATGACTACTTGCTTCTGCTCACCTTTTCCTTCAAGGAAGATAGGTGCTTTGGGACGGATTTTATTTGCTGTTAACTCACACTCTGATTTGTCCCACGATTTCTGATATCCGGGGCTTGTGCCCTCAGCCACAGCCCGTGCAGCCTTGGTTAGCTGCCTCCAGTGTGGCACTGGCCTTTTTACGTGTATCTCCTGCTCCTTTGAGAGTGTTCCCCTCTCTGGAGGTGCACTTTACCGTAGTTGTTGCTGTCTTCCAAGATTGAAAGACCTTCTCCGTTTGTACCATCTTGGATGATAGACCTTAATCTCCAGCTAGTTGTTGAAGTCCCTGTGTGTGCAGTGAAATTGCCCTGTGAGTTTAGTAAATTGGGTGAAGTAGTGCAGGTGGGAACAAAGACATTCAGCTGCTTGGATACCTGTCTTGGCCTCACCTTTTTAAGAAGCTTGTACTCTTATGTTCAGTTTTAAAAGTAGAACTGTTGTCTTTCTAAATTTCCAGTTTGGGGCAAGTATGGCTTTGTTTCTTTTGTGTCCATGCCTTGCTTGTCCGCAGGGAGGCTTGCCTAGTGGCCACTTACCACAGTGCCGGTTCCCATGTGTGTGTAGCAAATGGTAACCCTCCTGACACTCGGTATGATCTGAGAACTACGACTTCTGGAATCCTTGCCTGCTGAGGAGACCAAGTACCCCTTCCCTTTATGAAGTCCATCTACGAGCTTGTGTTTATCCTAAAACTTTTTAAATACCTGGTATAGAGTAAAGATTATGTCTACATAATGTCCTTATCATATCTCATAATACTTTCTAGAACCTGACCCCAGTCTGTCTTCTTTCACCTACATCTCACTCACTCCCTGCCCTTCAGCCAAATAGGTCCTTCCTTTAGTTCCATGAGCATGTCATGGTGGCTTCTTCGAGCCTTGGGGCCTTGGTAAATTTTAGTCCCTTGGCCTGGAATACCCCACCCTGACTTTGACTAACCCATACTTGGGTCTCAGCTTAAACTGAACCCCAGGGGCCCCGGCTCTTCCTTGATAGGCACAGTCATGCACCTGCAGATGCTCGCTCTGTGGAATGCTCATCACACCAGATGATCAGCTCCGTGAAGATGAGTTCATGATGTGTTCATGCTTCTATCCCAGTGTCTAGCACACAGTAGGCACTTGGTATTTGTGAGTTGAACTGAGTGGAATAGAAAGAGCCCAACAGGCTCAGTGCCTAGGGTGCCAGCCACATACACTGGAGGTGGCATGTTCAGGCCCAGCCACCTGGGCCTGTCAAACAGCAATGACAGCTACAGCCAAAAAATAGCCAAGCACTGTGGCAGATGCCTGTAGTCCCAGCTACTTGGGAGGTTGAGGCAGGAGAATCGCTTAAGCCCAAAGAATTTGAGTTTGCTGTGAGCTGTGACACCACAGTACTCTACTGAGGGTGACATGATGAGACTCTTGTCTAACAAAAAAAAAGAAAGAGCCCAACAAACTCAATGTTGACAGCCACCAATTTGTGCCTTTTTATAAAGATTGAGAGAGTTCAAAACTATTAAGAAATGAGGGCTCGGCACCTATAGCTCAACCGGCTAAGGCGCCAGCCACGTACACCTAAGGTGGCGGGTTCAAATCCCCAGCCCGGACCGCCAAACAACAATGACGGCTGCAACCAAAAAATAGCCGGGCGTTGTGGCAGGCGCCTGTGGTCCCAGCTACTTGGGAGG